CCAAGATCAAGAGTCGCATGCTTTTCCAACTGAGCCAGCTAGATGCCCCTGCACACTGGTTTTTAAAAACTATTTTCTCGGGCACCTGGGTGGCTCAGTTGGCTAAGCGACTGCCTTCGGCTCAGGTCATGATCCTGGAGTCCCGGGATCGAGTCCCGCATCGGGCTCCCTGCTCGGCGGGGAGTCTGCTTCTCCCTCTGACCCTCCCCCCTCTCATTCTCTCTCAAATAAAATAAAATAAAATAAAATCTTTAAAAAAAATAAATAAATATTTTAAAAACTATTTTCTCCTCAGCTTCACCTTTCCTTCAAATTTAGGATATAGTTGTTCCTAATGCTTTTTAATTTTATTTTGTTTTACATTTAATTTTGGAAATTTTCAATATATACAAAAGCAGAGAGAATAATGTAATAACTCTACATACCCATCACCTGCTTCCATAGTTACCAACACTCTGACACTTATTTTATACACCTCCCACCACTTTTTTTTCTGATTCTTTTAAAACAAAACAAAAATTAAAACATCATAAAGATTTCTCCCAATGGCTCCTGGATGGCTCAGTCATCAGTTGAGCGTCCAACTCTGGATTTTGCTCAGGTGATGATGTCAGGGTCCTGGGATTAAGCCCTAGTTGGGCTCTGTGCTCAGTGTGTGTGTGTGTGGGGGGGAGGTCTGCTTGAGATTCTCTCTCCCTCTGCCCCTTCCTCTGATCTCCCTCTCTCTCAAATAAATAAATAAATCTTTAAAAAAAGTCTCCTTAAATGTTAGTTTTTATCTGTACAAATGAGTCCTTTGTAAAGAAATATAACCACTCTTTCAATAACACATTTGGTACAATTAACAGTAATTCATTAATAATTTTCAATGCCAGTCTGTCTTTAGTTGCCTCCACTTGTTCCAAAGTGCCTTTTCATGGGTGGTTTGTTCAAATCAGAATCCAAAGAAGGTTATTATTATTATTATTATTTTTAAAGATTTTATTTATTTATTTGAGAGAGAGAGAATGAGAGAGAGAGAGCACATGAGAGGGGGGAGGGGCAGAGGGAGAAGCAGACTCCCCGCCGAGCAGGGAGCCTGATGCGGGACTTGATCCCGGGATTCCGGGATCATGACCTGAGCCGAAGGCAGTCGCTTAACCAACTGAGCCACCCAGGCGCCCAAAGAAGGTTATTATTGTTTTTTTTTTAAATCAAAGTATAGTTGACATACAGTATTCTGTTAGTTTCAGGTATACATCATAGTGATTCAGTATTTTTATATGTTACAAAATGATCCCCATGGTAAGTGTCGTCACTGTCACTGTACAAAGTTATTACAATATTATTGCCTATGTTTCCTGTGCTGTATGTTACATCCCTGTGGCTTATTTATTTTATGACTGCAAGTTTGTGCTTCTTAATCCCCTTCACCTCTTTCACCCGCCCCGCCCCCAACCTGTCCTCCCTCTGTAACCACCACTTTGTTTCCTGTGTTGATGAAGCTCTTTCTGTTTTGGTTTGTTGCTTGTTAAATTCCACGTAGAAGTGAAATCATACGGTATTTGTCTTTCTCTGTCTTATTTCAGTTAGCATAATACCCTTCAGGTCTATCCATGTTGTCGCAAATGGCAAGATTTCATTCTTCTTTTTGTGGCTGAGTAATATTCCAGTGTGTGTGTGTGTGTGTGCGCACCTCACATCTTCATTATCCACTAATCTACCAATCAACACCTAGATTGCTTCCACATCCTGACTATTATAAATAAGTCTGCAGTGAACATAGGGGTGCACATATCTTTTCGAATAGGTGTTTTCGTTTTCTTCAGATAAATACCCAGAAGTAGAATTGCTTGTATATGGATTATATGGTATGCCTATTTTTAACTTGTTGGGGGAACCTCCATACTGTTTCCCACAGTGGCTGCACCAGTTTGCATTCCTACTAACAGCGCACGAGGGCTCCCCTTTCTCCACATGCTCCCCAGTACGTGTTATATTGTGTCTTTTTAATACTGGCCAATGAAGCTATTACTTTTATTTTATTTTTATTTTTTAAAGATTTATCTATTTTTTTTTAAGATTTTATTTATTTATTTGAGAGAGAAAGAATGAGATAGAGAGAGCATGAGAGGGAGGAGGGTCAGAGGGAGAAGCAGACTCCCTGCCGAGTGGGGAGCCCGATGCGGGACTTGATCCCGGGACTCCAGGATCATGACCTGAGCCGAAGGCAGTTGTCCAACCAACTGAGTCACCCAGGCGCCCAAAGATTTATCTATTTTAGAGTGAGAGAGAGAGGGCAGTGGGGAGGGGCAGAGGGAAAGGGAGAGAGAATCTCAAGCAGACCCCACAGCGAGTGCGGAGCCTACGTGGGGCTTGATCCCATGACCCTGAGATCACAAACTGAGCCGAAATCAAGAGTGAGACACTCAACCAACTGTGCCACCCACGCGCCCCTGAAGTTATTACTTTTTTTAAAATTTTTAATTTTTTTAATTTTTTTTTTAAAGATTTTATTTATTTGACAGAGAGAGGGAGAGCACAAGCAGAGGGAGGGGCAGTGGGAGAGGGAGAGGCAGACTCCCTGTTGAGCATGGAGACCAATGTGGGGCTTGATCCCAGGACTCTGGGAATCATGACCTGAGCCGAAGGCAGATGCTTAACCGACTGAGCCACCCAGGCACCCCTGAAGTTATTACTTTTAAAATCTCTGTTGTGGGGCGCCTGGGTGGCTCAGTCGGTTAAGCAACTGCCTTCGGCTCAGGTCATGATCCTGGAGTCCTGGGATCGAGTCCCGCATCGGGCTCCCTGCTCGGCAGGGAGTCTTCTTCTCCCTCTGACCCTCCTCCCTCTCATGCTCTCTGTCTCTCATTCTTTCTCTCGCAAATAAATAAAATCTTAAAAAAAATAAAAAAATAAAAAAATAAAAAATAAAAAAATAAAATCTCTGTTGTACCTGTAGTTATTTCCCCTTTTTTATTATGCATTTTTTCTTTTTCTGTCTTCTTGATGAGTCTTCCCAGAGGGCCTACCAACTTCGGGTTTTTAAATCTTTTGTATTATTTTTTGTGGCTGTTGTTCTCTTATTTTTGTGTTTCCCTTTATTAATCCCTTCCTTATTTGGGGGATTTGCTCTATTACTTTTCCCCCACCTTTTTGAGTTTAACATCTTACATTTATTATTTATTTATTTATTTATTTATTTATTTATTTTTAAGGATTTTATTTATTTATTCATGAGAGACAGAGAAAGAGGCAGAGGCAGAGGGAGAGGGAGAAGCAGGCTCCCTGCTGAACAAGGAGCGCAACACGGGACTCGATACCAGGACCCTAGGATCAAAACCTGAGCCAAAGGTAGACACTTACCTGACTGAGCCACCTAGATGTCCTAACATCTTACTTCTAAAGATAAATAAATTTCTGGGGCAGCTGGGTGGCTCAGTTGGTTGAGCATCTGACTCTTGATTTCAATTCAGCTCATGGTCTCAGGGTCATGAGATCGAGCCCCAGGTCAGGCTCTGTGCTCTGTGGGGAGTCTGCTTGAGATTCTTTCCCTCTCCCTCTCCCTTTGCCCCTCCTCCTGCCTACACACTGTCTCTCTTTCTGAAATAAATAAATCAATCTTTTTTAAAAAAGATAATTAATTTCCATCTAAGAACTGCGTTAGCTGTGTTTCATGAATTTTAACCTGTAGTATTTTTGTTATCCAGTTTTACTAATTTCTTAATTTCTTTTTTTTTTTTACTTGGCACAATTTTATTTATTTTTTCTTCCAAATTTTTGTTTAATTTCTAGTTAGGTAACATATAATGTAATATTGGTTTCAGGAGTAGAATTTAGTGATTCATCACTTATATACAACACCCAGTGCTCATCATAACAAGTGCACTCCTTAATGCCCATCCCCCACTTAGCCCATCCCCCACCCACATCCCTCCATTAACCCTCAGTTTGTTGTCTATAGTTAAGAGTCTTTTATGGTTTGCCTCCCCCTCTCTCCTTCTCTTTTTCTTTTCCCTCCCCACACATTCATCTGTTTTGTTTCCTAAATTCCTCATATGAGTGAAATCATATGGTATTTGTCTTTCTCTGACTGACTTATTTCACTTAGCATAATACACTCTAGCTCCATCCACATCATTGCAAATGGCAAGATTTCGTTTTTGATGGCTGAGTAATATTCCGTTGTATGGATATACCACATCTTTTTATTTTAAGATTCTATTGTTTTTATGTTTTTATTTGTTTGAGAGAGTGTGTGTGTGTGTGTGTGCACACGTGTGGGGGAGGGGCAGAGGGAGAGAGAGAGAAGCAGAGTCCCCGCTGAGCAGGAAGCCTGACCTGGGGCTTGGTCCCAGGACTCTGAGATCATGACCTGAGCTGAAAGCAGATGCTTAACTGACTGAGCCCCCCCACCCCCGCCAGGTGCCCCAATATACCACATTGTTTTTATCCATTCATCAGTCAGTGGGCGCTTGGGCTCTTTCCATAATTTCGCTATTGTTGATAATGCTGCTATAAACATCGTGCCCCTTTGAATCTGTATTTTTGTATTACATGTTTCTTAATTTACTTTATATTTTCTTATTAATGCACAGTTTTGTTGCTGTTTTCCTTTTTTGGTACCATGTTAGTTTCTCAAGGTATGAGTTGTGTTTAGCATTTCTTTTTTCACTTTGTGGCTCGGTGGTCTTTCTCTGCTTTATTTCTAACTTCATCCCACTGCGGTTAGAGAAGATAACTTTGTATGATACCAATCTTTTCAAATCGATTGAGCCTCGTTTGTGGCCTTACATGTAGTCTATACTGGAGAATGTTCCGGGTACGCTTGAGAGGAGTGTTCAGCACTGTAGCCTGAGATCCTGTGTGTGTGATAGTCATCCTTGGGAGGCCATTGGGGCTCCTCTGTGGCCCGCGCAGGATTGGCTCTTGTGCATTTTGTGTGTGTGCTAAGGTAATGTTTGTTCCTGGCGTGCTGGGTGGGGCTTGGATGTGTTAATCATGAAGTTTCCTCTTTTCAGTGTGTCCGCTGACACAGAACCACTGGAGCAGCTGGGCTCAGCGCTGAGGTTTCGTTCCAGCTTGGACAGCGACCCGATGTCAGGGTAAATAAAACCTGCAGGCTGGGCACATCTTCCTGGTGGAGGTGACAAGGGGCTCAGTGGGCTAGAGTGAGGGCTGTGGGCACTGGGATGCCACAGAGTCATTATAGTGGGGCCCCAGAGGAGCTGACCACCAGGTCCCTGATCCTGATGTTGGAAAGTTGGGTCCTCATCATTGTGCTGGGGATAGGGGGACTGTGGTTGACAGTTGAAAGGCCAAGGGTAGGGGGACCCTGTTGACCTAGGTGATGGACGGGGTGGGCACTGGTGACTGATGGGGAGCAAGTGACAGCGATGGAGGTGATGGTGGTGACAGCGATGGTATGATGGTGACAGTGACAGGGCGATGGTGACAGGGATGGGGTGATGGTGGTGACAGGGATGGGATGATAGTGGTGATGGTGGTGGGTGATGGGGTGATAGTGATGGGTGATGGTGGGGATGGGGATGGGATGATGGGGATGGGATGATGGTTATGGTGGTGATGGGTGATGCTGACGATGATGGCAGGGTGATGGTGGTCACAGTGATGCGGTGATGCTGGTGATGGTGACAGAGCGATCGTGATAGTGATAGGACAATGGTGGTGACAGTGATGGGGTGATAGTGGCAATGGTGACCATGATGGCAGGGCGATGATGGTGACAGTGATGGGGTGATGGCGGTGCTGGTGCTTGGTGATGAGGTCATGGTGGTGTGGTAAAGATGCTGGGATAACTGATGTGCCCAGTCCCTGTGTCAGGGCTTGTGAGTCATGGTTGCTGTATCAGGGCCCTTCTGTCAAGGGGCCGGGGAACAACGCAGTCCCCCAAACCTCGGTTCCCTTGGCCAGGTTCCTGCTGTGTGTTGTTGCCACCGTGACGAGGGGCTGTGACGTACCCTTCATGTGGGTGGAGTAAGCATGCAGCCACTCATGTATTTTCCTGGTGGGGTCTGTTCCATGTGCTGCGTGCCCCTGCCCCGGTGGATCTAGAAGCCCCTTTCAGGAGAAGATCTGCCCAGGCCTGGTTGCCCCTTTGGAGGAGCACACTGGGGGCTCCGGACCTGTGCGGGGGGTCCAGGTGCTTGCCTGTCCCATCCTGCCCTGTGAGCCTGGGTGGGTGTGGGGTCTCACTGGGAGTGGGGAGGTGCCACAGAGGTACAGCCTGTGGTCCCTCCTCAGTGCCCAAGGCCCGGCCTCTGCTCTCCAGTCTGCTGGCTGATCCTGCACCCTTGGCTGATGGGAGACTGACACCTCGACTCGCCCCTCCCTCCACACGCGGGGAGTGCCCTTCCTTTGCTGAGTCCCAGAACTGTGGGCTTTCTGACGGCCCCACGGGACATCCTGCTGTCCAGCCGGTGTGGGCCTGGGGCAGCGTCCTGGGGACAGTGAAGTGTTCTGGGCAGTGCTGGTCTGAGTGGCGTTCAGGAAGACCATTCTGGCTGCTCCACGGATGCTGAGGCAGGAAGGGGGTGGCAGCCATGGCTTCCCAGGCCCAGGTGTTGGGAGGCCAGAGGGAGACCAGGCTTGGTGGGGGGAGGTGAGGCCGGAGACTGTCATTCAGCAGCTGCCTGCTAGGGAGTGGCCAGGGGGGTGGCGGGGGGCCTGGCCTCTGCTCTATTGACGGGGCCAGAGGTCCAGCCCTGTGAGAGGATGTGGGACCAGGAGTGGGTGTGGGGTGAAGGGCTCAGGTTGGGTGGAAGGAGTGTGTTGAGGACTGAATCTGAGGGTCAGCAACATCTCCCCGAGGAAGGGCCTCGGGAGATGCTGAGAGGGAAGGTTCAGAGAAGCAGAAGGAAAGAGGAAGATGCTTGGGCTGTGGAGTATTGAGAAATGTGGATGCCACACCACAGAGACCATGGCACCCTTGGCAGGAGCCGTTCAGTGCAGCGGATTGAAGAGCGAGTTGGAAACGTGTAGGGTGAAGTGAGTGTGGACAGTTTCAGGGAGAGATTTGGCTGCGAACCAGTGAGGGGGAAGACAGGAGTCGGAGGAGGAGTCAGGGTGAAGAAGGGCTTCTTGGATGCTGGTGGAGACTTGAGCTGAGAGAGGGGACATTGCAGAACAAGGTCCCCACGGGGCATAGGAGGAGAGGCTGCTCGGACTGGTGGCAGCAGAGAGGTAAGTGGGGTGAGCCCAGGAGCACCTGTCCCTCCGTGAGCTGTGCACACAGAACCGGGTCGGGTGGGTGGTGTGCACCCTCCTGCGCGTGGCCCCGCCCTGGCAGCCCCGCCCGCCGGGACGCGCAGGTGACTGCAGTCATGCTGCCCGACTTGCCTGCGCCTGCACCTGCCTCTGACCAGAGCCCTGTGTCTCGCACGGCACCTGCCTTATGCAGGTTTAGGGCTTAGGAAGCGGGCAGAAGGGCAGGGTCAGCAGCGACACTTCTGTGAGTGCCCTCAGGTGGGCATCTGTGTGCTGCCCCCTCGGCCAAGGGCCCTGTTTACCCACTGGAGTGTTGGCTCCTTCGTGGGGTCCAGCCCCTGCTGCGCAGGCCGTGGCTGGGAGCTCCAGAGAAGCCTCAGTGGGGGGAAAAAACCCCACGTCTCCCTCTGTGGGTGACTCCTTGGGTTCTCCAAGAATGAGGCACCAGGTCAGAGTGCAGGGACCCAGAGGAGGCCACCTCTGCCTGTCACAGCCTGGATGGGTTGTGTCTTCCCTTGACGTGGGCCCTCTGCTCCCCAGAGTGTGGCCATGTTACCTGTGGGCCTGCGGTTGGCCCAGGTCTTCTGCTGCCTGCTCCCCAACTTTGGCAGGTGAACCCTATCCTGCCCTGTTGAATGGTCAGTGCATTGCCAGCATCTTGGTCAAAGTGCTGTTGTCCCTGCTCTGGAGAGGGTCTTTCCGCAGTCCACACACTGGGGGTCTTTGGCCTTCTGGAACCACCCAATTCAGCCCTGCACACTCCCTGCTTGGGCTGATTCTGCCTTTTTTTTTTTTTTTTTAAGATTTTATTTATTTATTTGACAGAGAGTGAGTTAGCGAGAGCAGGAACACAAGCAGGGGGAGTGGGAGAGGGAGAAGCAGGCTTCCCGCCGAGCAGGGATCCCGATGCGGGGCTCGATCCCAGGACCCTGGGATCATGACCTGAGCCAAAGGCAGACACTTAACGACTGAGCCACCCAGGCATCCCTAAAATTTGTCTTATTTTAAGTTTAATTCTCTGGTGAGACCAATCCTAGATTCTTTTTTTTTTATTGTCAACTATAATATATATACAGAGAAGTCCACATAGTTACGCAGTTTATTTTTTTTTAAGTTTTAAGTAATCGCTACACCCACTGTGGGGGTCAGACTCGTGACCCCGAGATCAAGAGTCACAAGCTCTACTGACTGAGCCAGCCGGGTGTCCCAGATACACACAGTTTAACAAGTAAATTATAAATCAAATTCCTGGTGATCCCAAGAGCTACGGGAGCCATAGTAGGCTTTGGAGCAGGGGTGACATGATCAGACCTGGCAGGTTGGCCAAGGGCCCTTGAAGAGGCATCTACATCATGCTGGCGAGGCAGGCTGATGGCTTGGAGCATGTGCTGGTGGGAGAGGGGGAGCTGAGGGGACTCGTGTGTCATTCCGAGGGCCCCAGGGGCTGCTGGTGGACCTAGGTCACTGAAGGTGCCCATCAAGGAGGACAGCTGGAACAGGGCTGGCGGGCTGAGCAAGAGTGTGGCTTGGGCACTCAGCCAGGGCACCTCAGATCCCAAGGCGGCGTCTGGGCAGGAGGGTGGATAGGCATGGTGAGAGGCCAGGGCTGGGCAGGCGAGGCTGGCGAGGCAACTCTGGGAGGACCGCCTGACCACCTCGGCTTCCCTCCCTGCTCCGGGCCCTCTGGAGCAGCGGGGCCTTGCTGTGTCTTTAAGGGCTCTGTGTTGCTCTTCCTGTCACTGACGTCAGGGCGAGGGGCGGGCCAAGATTTGCCTTCCTTTTCCTAGAAAGGGGAGGGGATTGGAACTGAGTGGCCCATGATGGAAAGAGGGGACGTCCAGGGCTGCTGGAAGCCGGGGAGTGAAGGCGGAGGCTAACATGGGGTGAGCCTGGGCGCCATACTGTGTGTGTGTGTGTGTGTGTGTGTGTTTCTCTCCATTCCTTGGGGGCAGCAGCGGGTCTGGGAGGAGCTTGTGAGTCTGGAGCAGGTGAGGGCCGCATAGTGGCCAGTGGCTTCTGGTCTGTGAGTGCAGTTGTGTATTTTGGAGTCCACGGTGTGAAAGGTCTGTCCTAGCCTGTCGCTGGGCTGTGTGGGGCCCTGCTGAGGTGGTGCTGCCCCTCCGGACTGTGAGCGGAAGCCCCTCCACCCGGGGCGGGGTGGGGTGGGGTGGGGCCGGGCCCACCGCCTTCCCCTGGGCCCTCAGTAGAGGCGGAGGCCCTGTAGCTCACCAAGCTCCCTTCCTGTTTTATTTTTTATTTTATTTTATTTTTTTAAGGAGGCTCCACGGCCAGCATGGGTAGGGCTTGAACTCACGACCCAGAGATCAAGAGATCAAGAGTCGTAAGCTCTGCCAACTGAGCCAGCCGGGTGCCCCTCCTTCCACGTTTGAACGCACTAGGTGCAGTCACCAAGCATGTGCCTTGCCTTAGAAAAGAGTTTAGTCCCTGGCAACAGAGGAGGAGAGCAAGGGACTCTGTCTGCCCTTGAAAGTCAATTTTAGTGAGCTTCCTGCCCAGGGCCTGTCCTTTCTTTAAAGCCCCTGCACTCTGTTGTGGTCCTTGCTGAGGGGCTGGCATCAGGCAGGCGGGCCTCCTCTTCCAGAAGGCAAGGTTAGCTCCAGCACCCCCATCTCATCCACCCGTCTCTTTGTTTGCCCACTTGCCCTACTGGTCAGAGTGTGGGAGCCCTGGGATGTACGTGAACCCCTGGCACAGGGCTGTGCAGCCAGCAGGCTCGCCGTCACTCCTTGGGGGCCTGCAGCCCCTCTCTGGGGCTAGTGCTGAGGCTGCGTTCCCTGCGTGCCTCTCCTCACTGTTCTGGCCACGCTGGCCTCTGCTCTCCTGGAATTTCTCCCCACCTTTGCCCCTTGTGCTGCTATTTTACCTCAACATCTGCCTCCTGCGCTGAAGTGTGGGCTCCCAGAGGCCGTGAGCTGGTCGGTCTCGCCCAGAGGGATGGGCCTGAGCCACGTGCCCGAGGCCCGGCTGCTGAGTGGGTGGGGTGGACAAGGGGTGTATGGTGGGGAGACACTCCTAGGGCGTAGACCCTGGGTGAGGTGCTTTACCCAGACTTGCGAAACAGCCCCATTTTACACCAAGGAAACAGTCTGAAGGAGAGTCAAGCTATCCCACCTGGAAGTTGCTCTGTGTTGCCCCGAGTCTCCTCTGGCAAGAGGGGTGCCCCTGGGAACGGTGGGGTGCGGACTGCTGGTCCTGGGCCGGGGCGAGAGGCCCTGGGTCACCGCCGGCTCTTTGGCAGGTTTGGGGCAACTGTAGCCATCGGCCTGACCATCTTCGTGCTCTCCGTTGTCACCGTCATCATCTGCTTCACCTGTTCCTGCTGCTATCTCTACAAGATGTGTCGCCGGCCACCGCGTCGTAAGCACGCCTGCCCCCTCCCTGCCCCCCGTGACCCTGGGTGTGTAGGTGCAGAGCCCAGGTGCTGGGGCGGGGGGGCTGACCAGGGCCCTGACTCGGCTAAGCTGGAGGGAGGGGTGGCTGTGGTCCTGACTGGGATTCTCTCTGCAGCGGTGGTCACCACCACGGCCACCACGGTGGTGCACACCCCTTACCCTCAGCCTCCAAGTGTGCCACCCAGCTACCCCGGACCAACGTACCAGGGCTACCACCCCATGCCCCCGCAGCCAGGGATGCCAGCAGCACCCTACCCGACACAGTACCCCCCGCCTTACCCTGCCCAGCTGATGGGCCCCCCGGCCTACCACGAGACATTGGCTGGTGAGTACCACTGCCAGCGCTGGCCCTGCCTGACCCCACCCCCGCCAAATCGCCTGCCACTGTCACCTCAGGCTGCAGCCCTCCGTGTTCACAACCAACCAGTGTCCTCTCTGTTTTCAGGAGGTGCAGCCGTGCCCTATCCTGCCAGCCAGCCTCCTTACAACCCGGCCTACATGGACCCCCCGAAGGCAGCCCCCTGAGCCTGTCCCTGCTTCTCTGGCTGCCACTTGGTGTGTGTGTGTGTGTGTGTGTGTGTGTGAGAGAGAGAGAGAGAGAGAGAGAGGGGAGATGGGTATGCAGGCACGGCCCTTTTCTCCCCGTGCGTGGTGTTTGTGTCCAGTCTGCACACGAGGCTTCTTGTGATGCCGTGCTGGGGAGCAGTCATTGCCAGAGTTGCTGGGACCCTTCTTCGTTCTCTTCCTCACTTGAAATTGTGCTCTTTTGAAATCTCAAAATTCAAAGACTGGGGTGGGAGTTCTTTCCCATACTGCCCCAGGGAGACCAGGCTGGTGGGGGCTCGTCCTGCTAGGACAGTGGGGCTTTTTGTAGGCAGTGTGCCCACGTGTTCTGGTTTGGGCAGAGTGGCTAGCCACTGCTCAAGGCCATGGCCTGTCCGCAGGGCATGGGGTACTCCTCAAGGAACCAGAGCCATCGTGGCATGGGGGTGAGGCTCGGGGCCTAAGTTGGGTTTTAATCCTTTCAGCAGTCGTCCCATAGTCCCCAGAGCCTGTGCCCTGCCCAGCAGAGGGCGGGCAGCCTCCCGAGACCAAAACACTTGAGGCAGAGGCCCACCCACCCGAGCGCGGTCTGCCTGGACTGTCCCTGCATCTTTCCTGGCACCACCTGGAGGGCCACGTCCACCCACGGCTCTGGCTGCCCTGGCTGGCCACGACCCCCACCACAGGTAGGCAGGGCGGCCTCTGTCCACCTGCACACTCAGGTGTCCTCCCTGCAGTGTTTTTGTTTTCCTTTCCTTTTAGGCAAAAACAGTTTGCCTGTTTCCTGTTTTAAAATGTATGTGATCATTTTTGTGAGGCTGAACCCCCTGGGTCCTGGAGGGAAATTGGCCCACTGTGGAGAGGGACCGTCAGACCTCTGATAGGCCCTACCTCTCCCCACACCAGCTTCACAGAATAGCCAGCTCCTGTACCCCAGTCTCAGTGTGTCCTGGCACCCAGGACACCTGGGCCAAGGGGCCGTCTGGACCAAAGGTGGAAGGGGGCCCTAGGTGGCTGCTCTCGACCAGACATGAATACCTCGGTGTTCCCTGTTCCTCTGTTAATATCTCACCCGATCTGTCTTAGCTTTGTACCTGTTGATGTGTTTCTGAGAGTCTAGGGTCTGCACCTTTGTTTATAATAAATGCAAACATTTGGGGTTGCCGCCTTCTTTCTTCAGAGCCTTGGGTGCTGGGACTGGGCATTAGGCCATGTACCATCTTCATCCATCTCTTGGGTTTCCATGTTTGCCCTGTCTTTCCTGGGCTCAGGTGTCTGGCCATCCTGCTAGGGAGGGTGGAGGACAAAGACTGTGCCACCCTCTGTGTCCCCCTCCCCAGGTCCCTGAGTGTGGGCAGAGGTGCAGGAGGCTTCTCTAAGGCTGCCAAGGAGGGTAGAGGTGAGGGCCCACTCAGTGCTGGGGGGGGTCTTTATTAGTCAGACTTTCCTTCTTGGCCTACTGCCCAGGTGTGGCCAGGGAAAGCCCATACAGTGTGGCTAGTGCCAAGGTCAGGAAGGCCAGAAGACCCAGCGGGGCTAGCAGTCCCGCCTTGGGTGAGGCTCCAGGGCCCTCCATTGGAGGAACGGCCTTGGGCTTCCTGCCCCTGCCCAGGTTGGGACTAGTGTCCCCGGCTCTAGCCAGGGCTTTAGGGGCTGTGGTGGCAGATGGTCTTGGGTTGGTTCCAGCAGAGGCCGTGACCCCGTACATGGGCTTGACAGTGCTGAAAGGCCTGGCATGAGCGTCCACCCACTGGAGCAGGGCCCGCGGCCTCCACTGACAGATGCTGAGCAGGGCGAGGACATCACTCTCGGCCATGTGCGAGTCCGGTGGGGCCTGGCCATACAGGCGTGTGTAGATGCTGCCCAGGCTGTAGCTTTTCCGTGGGCCATGCTCCGAGGGGCTGCCAGCGTGCTCCAGGGCCTTCAGGGCGGCAATGCTATCCACACAGAAGGCACCGTCCAGAACACTGGCAAGGCCTAGGACAGCCAGCTCCGCCTGGAGCAAGGGGAAGTCGTAGCGGTCGCCATTGTGTGCCACGAGGCACCAGGGCTGTGGCTGGCGCTGCAGGAAGGCTCGGAGCAGGCTGGCCAGGTCGGCATCGAAGCGCTGACGCCCGTGAGCTGCCAGTACAGCTGTGCTCAGGCCTGTGATCTTACTGGCTTCTGGGCTGCAGGCCTTCCCTGGAGCCACGCACAGAGAGAGCTTGTCTGCCACCCGGGGCGGCGGGGGCACTATGGGAGGCTGCCCCTGAATATTGGGGGAGCTCTCCAGGGCACATCTGTGGACAGCCAGCAGACACAGCTCCGTGACCTTGGGCTGGGAGGAAGGCAGGCCAGTGGCCTCCAGGTCCAAGAAGATGAGGGTCTGCACGGGCCCCGGGGCTGGGGCCTGCGAGCCCATGCTGGGTACCTGCCGAGCCTGGGGAGGAGCAGGGGTGGGGAGTGGGTGTATGAGTGCCCCAGTGGGAAGAGCTGAGGCCGGCACTGTCAGTGAGCTCCAGGACCCGATTCCAGGGCAGGAAGCCAGAGGGTGTCATGACTTCCTTAGGGGGAAGCACCCTCAACTGTCTGTTTTGGGGGGAACCTTGGCTCCTCCCCTAGCGCCCACCTAGCCTGGGCCTGGGGGGGGGGGTGAGGCCTACCCACCCTGCCCCATCCCCGTGGGAGTCCTCACTTACCGAGTAGCAGGCAGCAGCAACGACTCAGGGTGCAGTCTGGCTGGTTCTTGCTGCCGGCAGCAGTGGCGGGAAGTGAAACTGAGTGTGAGCCTGCCTGTGGGCTGTCCTGAGGGAGGCCCGCCCTGCTCATCAGCGGGCCAGGTCTGTCCCTCCCCAGCACGGCCCCCTCCTGACTCCCCAGAGGCCTCCGACCTACAGCTGTGGGCCTGCTGGCTGGCACAGCGCATCAGAGCGCTCACACTGTGAGAGGCAGCCGGCAGGACAAGGGCCGTGGTGCCCAGCCCTTCGGGGAAGGCCAGCAGCAGGACTCCAGCCTGCCAGCAAGCCCGGCTGTGGCCAGCGGCCACCGTGCATCCTCTCCTTGGCCCTACTTTCTCAGGTCTCCCTGCCGTAGGCCCCGGCTGCCGCCTGCCTCCTGCTTTGCCACACAATGGTTTCTTCCCATGGCCTCAGCCCAAAGCGATGACTCAGGGCAATTCCACAGGCTGGGCAGGGCAGGGCCGGGCTCCTTCCTCAGGGCTGATTCGTTACCATGGGGACAGGGTCTCAACTCCGGCCAGGGACGGGAAGGCTCCCAGGCTTCCGAGGGTCTGGCTCCTGCTCCGTCCCCCCCACTCAGCCCGACACAGATCAGACTCAGGAAACACCACAAGGCTGGCGTGTTCTCAAACAGCGCTTTGCTGCTTTTAATCAGTTGGTGGGGAAGGTAGTGGTTCTGGTGCCACCGTGTGGCTCGATGCTCCCAGGTGTCAGCTGCAGTCCATCTCAGGGTCATCCACATCGGTTTCAGCGGCACAGAGGTCATCCAGGGCTGCCTCTGAGCGAAGAGAAGAGGGTTCTACGGTGAAGGCCTGCAGGTGCTGGGCACAGGGGTGGAGGGAAGGCCCACCGCTCCTCCCCCACGCCCATAGGAACTAACCAGTCCCTTCCACGCCCAGGCCTTGCTCCCTCAGCTACTGCAAGCAAAGTGACACAAAGGCAATTCAGACAGGGATGTTTCTGGAACAACCGTGGCTCTGCCAGGCCGACTCAACAGATACAAGCAAAAGGCAGCCTGCTATGCTCAGAGAAGAGCCAGAGCAGTAAGGCAAAGGCTGCGTGGAGGGAAGACTGCTGACTTAAGGCCAGGAACTGTGACCTGTCCGTGAACTTCAGGGAAGCCCCGCGTGTGGGTTGGACAGGGAGGAGTCCTCCTGCAGGCTCACCTTCACAGTCGGCCACGTCCGGAAGCCCTCGAATCAGCATGCTGACCCCTGGCATCACCTGGTCATACTGATGCAGGACCTCCACGCAGTGCACAGTGAAGAGCTTGTCCTTCTGGGACAGGCCATGCAGCAGCAGCACTGTGTCCCGCAGACAGCGCATCGTCCGCTTCTGCCACTCCGTCTTTGGGGGCCCCCCGGCCCTCCGCACCGTCAGCCACTGTCTGTGCAGCATCGCCGTGAGCGCCCTGACCCCCTGCGGGAGGGCCGACACTGAGGCTGGGTCCCAGGGCTCCTGCGCCCCCCGGCCTGCTCCGCTGGACGGCACCCTGCCCGGCCACCACAGGTGAGGAGGGGTCGGGGCTGCGGGGCATGGAGCGGGGGGGTGGGGGGGTCCCTGCAGAGGGTCACCTTGGCCCCCACGCGCTCACCTCCACGTTGCACTGGCAGTTAGAGCCCGTGACCGGGGAGCAGGGGCTCTGCACACCCAGCTTAGCCAGGAGCCACACGGCCTAGAACAAGAACAGACTGGTCCGTCTATGGCAGAATGAGACCCTGGTCACAGTGAGGGCTTGCTAAGGCTTCTACCCGGTTGCCTTAGCAACTGCCTATCTATACAACGGGGTCCAAGAAATGGTCTTGGGGCCTTCCCAGGCTAGGCTCAGGGCCAACCCCCGTGTCTCACCAGCAACCCACCTGCCTCCAGGCCCCAAAGCCAGGGTGGGACCAGTTATCAGGCCACTCTGCCAAGTCCCAGGACACCCTGGGGCCCAGCTGTATTGCTTCTGTGTAGCGTGGAGCCCCCGGACTGAGTTCCCCTTGTTAGCAGCTGGGTAAACTCTTGTTACCAAAGCGAATGAAAGCTCCGTTCTCCCCAGGGGGAGAACAGTGGCCCTGAGGTGGGTGGGGTGGGGTGGTGAGCAGTTCACAGCAGGGCCTCTGGAGTTTTTACCTCTTGCTCTAGCTGAAGCCACTGTGTGTCCGAGGCCACTTTGTCAGGCCTTGATGTGATGTACGTGTACAGCAGCAGGAGGAGACAGCCTTCTGAAAAGGACACCCCACCTCTCACTCAGGGTTCCCCTTCTTACCCAGAGCCCCGGGCACAAGCTGCAGAAGCCCTCAGGAGGCCTCTGACCTGTCCCTGCCACCGCCCTCGCTTCCAGCCTGCAGTGGCAGCCCAGCCACCCACTCCCTGCCGGGCTTTACCTGAGCGGGAGCAGAGCTGAGGCGCCAGTTTCTCGTGGTCCGCCAGGAGGGAGAGGAGCTCGACAGTCAGCAGGACGCTGGGCAGGGGGCTCTCGGGGCTCAGGCACTGTGGCAGCACCCGGAACACACACTGGAACCTACAGTACAGGGGCCCAGAGAGATGGGACGCTGGTAACCCAATCCAACTCACCCTCGCTTTTCCCCAGAGGGAACAGGCCGTTTTGAGCAGGCGGTACGAGGAGGAGCTGTGGTTCAGACCTGGGTTCAAATGCTGGCTGACCACTACCTGCTTGCTAGGACATCTGCTTCCTGTGAACGAGTAGGTACAAGCCTCCGCCGCGATGTTGCTGTGGCTTAGAGAGGACAGGCCCTTACCAGACACAGCGCCACCTGTAAATGGGGGCTGCCTCCCTGGACCTGGGGTGCCTGGCTTCCACGCTGCTCCCAAATAGGGAGGCAGATCTTAACTTGGGTGTGAGAATGTTATGAGCCCACTACCCAAGGACTGGCCAGGCTCCAAAGTGGCAAATGCAGACTTGGCTAGGGTTGGGTTTTACACCACTTGCTGAGCAGACCATTTCTGGAAACACCAGATAGGAGCAGGTGCCCCCTTGGAGCGTGCACGGGTGAGGGGCTCTGGGCACACTCTCCCCTAGGTCTCACAGGCACAGGGAACTAAAGAACTAAGTCCCAAGACAACTGCCATTCGCTCAACCCACACAACCTTGTGCGTAGGGGGAGGGGTACTTTTACGTGTCCCCCTTCATGCGTCTGCAGCGTCTCAGCACACACCATCGAGGGTTAAGAATATTCCTCAGTATGCCATTAGGAAGCAAGTTCTCACTGTTTGGGGTGAAATCATTTTAGAGCAGATCCTGTACAGTGGATAAGCGGCATGTTTTCGGTTGCCAGGGAGGGTAGAACTTTATGGGAAACTGGGATTTAACCTGCTTGTTACTCAAGTTCATCATTAGGTTAGAAGTGGTCTCTAGTGTTTGTGTAAAGTCCCTGAAACTGTCTGCAAGAAAAATCTATATATATGACACAGTGGTTTCCAAATTACTTTTGGATAACATCAGCCTTCTTTTAAAAAATTTTTTCAGAGCCCCAAACATACAAGAGAGAATAGTCCTGCTGTTCTGTTTGAAGCGGGGGATGAGACCTCTTTGCTCAAAAGTCGCTGCCATCTCAGTACCGGGAATGGCCCAGTAACCAGGAATGACCTATGGCTATAGTCCGAGGGGATGACTTGCCCTCAGGTCTAGGTGGGCAAAGGTGCCCCTTATGAGACCGCTGTCTGCATGGCTCCTTGTGTTGCACTGCACACTGTCAGGGCCTTGGTGGCACGTGTCCTTCGCTTTCACTCCAAGGTGAACAGGAAGCTGTGTGGTAGTGGGGTTCAGCCTGCAAGGAGGTAGGAATTCTGAAGAGAAGCACCAAGTGGGAGGTGGTGTCAGACTGTGATTAAGGGCAAGTCAAGGAGACTGGCCTGAAACTGGCCCAGCATGCTCTCTTCACTCGTATTCATACAGCAAATACTGAGTGCTTCCAGTGAGCCAGGCTCCCTCTAGGTGTAAGGATGCAGGGCTCTGAGGGTGTCACATGAGCTAGTGAACAGAAGGCATCTGTCTGGCCTATAGTAAGCATCCCCTAAATTGCTGTTTTATCATGTCCTTGCAGACAAGCTCAACAGGAATGGAATGATGGTGTATCTACCAAGAGGACTGGTAAAAAGTGGCTCCTGGAATTCATTCAACACCTATGAAACAAGCAACCAGCCACTATGAGCTAGGTCTGTGCCAGACACATGGTTCTGATGGTTCTGAACCTATCATGCTGCCCATACTACACCACAGTACTGTGAGTACTGTGTCCAGCTCTGAGGACTACCGTTAGGATGGACCAGACAAGCTAGAATATCCTCAAATGGAAACCAGGATCCAGAAGTGTTTTTCAGAAACAAGTATGCTAAGCTCAGAGGCTAAAAGCTTAAGGTAAGTGCAGCCAGTGGAGTTACTCCAAATAGGAACTGGCTTCTTGGTGGCATGCTGAGGGGCAGACAGGATTATTGGATGAGGGGATGGGCTGGATGGTGTTTACAGTTCCTCCCAGTCTTGAGGCTCTGGAATCCCAAGTTAGGAATTTATGACTACAGTGTTCACAAGCTAGGTTCACTGTACAACCACTTCCCACAAACATTAAGAGGAGCAGGTAACCTATGACTCATGCCAGAGGGCACGATGATGATGGGCAGATTCCCAGGAAGGTCAGCTTATGGGCTGCAGACCTACCCTACACCCTCTGCTTCCTTAGGGAACCCCACCGAACTTAAATGTGGTGTGATTCGTGGTCTTCACCTGATCCACGGCCCAGGTTCAAGGCTCTTGGTTCAGCCTTTGTCTGTCCTGGGGACAAGGATGCTTTTCCATAGTGGCTACAAGCCTTCTTTCAACACATGTGTCTCTTGCTTACCTGCTGTACAGAGGCAGAATTAAACCAAATAAATCACTTCCTTGGTTCTCCTAAATCACTTTCTTGGTTCTCCTAACACCTGGCCCCACTTTCCATCACTTCAGAACTCCCTGAACGAAGCCTCAGAACATAAAACCAAGGCTTAGCACTGAGAAGCATAAGTCAAGAAGTGGACAAAGTATAAGGGCCACGGGATAGACCTCAAGAGGTCAGGTAAGACCCACAAAGAATCATGACTTCCATGCTGTGTTATTATACCTGGGCAGGAAATCAAAGGAAGCATTTTCAGCTAATTTCACCAAAATCTTAAGACACTGGCTCAGGACACTGGCTTGAAGGTGACCTGTTGAAGAAAAAGTCAACAGGTGAAGAAGCATCTTCAGTACTGGATGCTGGCCTTGGTCACTGGCAAGCCCCCTTGGGGCTGAGGACACATCCCCATGATCTTGTCTGTGAACCAGGCTCTGGTTTCCTGCCCTAGCAGCAGAATCTGCCCCTGCATCTGACAGTAACAGGTGGACGACCGCTCCGCTGTGGCACACCAGGTGCTGAAGAACACTAAGGGACGCTACAGAGAAGCTTTCCAGGCTGCAAAGTGAGTCCTCGAGGCTGGCCTCTCCCGCAGAGCTCACACAGG